GGACTGGCTTTTTTCAGTCTTCTCCCCAGCTTAACAGGCCAAACACTGTAGTTTTTGTTCAGTATTCAGTAGATTTAATTTACCTGAGAAAAGATGGAAAGAAGGTTTTATGTTCACCTTTCAACAATTAGAACATTATGCCATTGGGTAGAGCAGTAGGGTTATTAACTGGAATTTGTCACATACAAACACAGGATCAGATACTCAGGCTGACCTTTTAGCCCCTCTGTTTTTTAACTGCAGAATATTCTTTTTGACAATTAGCTATAACTTTACCAGCTGTAGTAAACATCCACCTCTCCAGATAACAACTACCCAAACTAGGTGACTTTTTGTTCTGCATCTTATGGGAAAATGTGTGGAGCTTGTTTTCCTGAGTGGAGAAAGCTAGAAATGTGAAAAAACTAAAAAATCCCAAACCAACAAGGAAAATTTACCAAATAATCATTTGACTATAGAGGCTTTGGAGATTCATGATAAAAATCCCTGTCTAGGCGATAAGCTAGTTCCATATAAAGGTGTATATTTACAAAGAACCATGTCATCCATGGAAGACTGGTTTCCATTCAGCAAAGGAAACTGTACAAAGACCAGTGGCCTTTTTGCCTTCACACTGTAGTCCTCAACTTCTTAATGTTAATTTGAGACTATTTGCACAAATCTTCTATAGAAGCAGAATTATTAAAGCTTATGGGATTCTGATTTATGAATATAATTCCTGTAATTAGTTTCCCTTGCCTGGGCTGGAAAGGATACCTTGATTGCTGTCCTGACCACTGGAACATTTCTGATACTCTTCCACAGGCCAAATAATACCCCATTCAAAACAATGTGGTCTACACTGACAACATCAGTATTTGTCTTGCTGTCCTATCTGGATATGGTAACTCCTCCAAAACCACTACCAGCCAATATAATATATATTTTGCAACTGGTTTGTTGGGCAATAACTTGTGAATAGGTTAATACAGTGGGTTTCAGGACCCAGAAGGATCCCTGACAAATAATTAAGTAATGCATTCCCATTGTTGATAATGTTTCCAGGCACTAGTAGGAAGTCTGTGTTTCCACTGAATTTTTTCTGCAAATCAAAAGGGTTGAAAATGAGCAATTAAAATACAACTGTGGGGTATGATACAGGAATGACAGCTTTCTGACAGGAGTTTCTAAATGTTCACAAGAAGGTCTTTGATGTCCATGATGTACCATTTATAACCTGGTTTAGGGAGAAAATGTTATTTATTTTTCTTTTTACTGTAAAGTGTATTTTTTAAGAATTAAAAAACCCAGTACTTTCACAAAATGGAATACTTTCCTTACTGAAACTTTTTTTAACTTTTTAAACAGAAAAGCAATTTTATACTAATCTTCATCAGTCCTCAGTTTTCAGTACTTTCTATTCTGAAGTAAGAAAAAGGTAGGTTTAGCCTTTAGAGTAGTCTATTCTCAATTCATGTTTCTTTTCCTTGTAGCAGCAGCCAAAACTGTAAAAACTATATTCTAATGATTAAAAAACACTTTCTCAGTAACACATGGTATCATTGTAATATTTGAGTGGAAAAACTGGAAAAACACTGGTGTTTTTTAGTTGGGTTTACAGCGATATTTTAGCTACTGATGGTAGCTAACATTTTATTATTTAAATTAATAAGCTAACTTTTTCAGAACAGATAAAAACTGTCAGTCTAGACTTTCAGGGAATATAAAAATAAATAAAACTAAATAAAGATAAATAAAAGAAGTTAAGTCTCCTTTTCTTAGCTTCACTTTAATTTTAACTGGACATTTTGGGAAAGAAACATCTGCAGTCAAGGAATGGATTTGCTCTCTTCATATGGCATATTACTACATACATACTTTAAAAAAAGATGCTAACAGTCTGTCATAACTTCATTGACACTTATTCATATTTAACTAAAACAAATTCCATCACCTGCTGTCAGAGTGAGGGTGATTGCATTTTGCTGCCATAGTGTACTGCTGCCCTGTACAGTCAGAATAATCAGAGACTGATTTTCATCTCATTCAATTCAAATTTATGTGCTCAAGAGGAGACCTTCCCGAGCTCTTGTGAGTGGAAAAGTACATTTGCCACAGCCGTGCCACACCCTCTTTGACACTTTGCTATTCCTCTGATACTCATTTCAAGAATTATACAGTAATCAATATTTTGTGATTGAAAACAAATCAGTATTTGTTTTCTCAAACAGGCAAAATAAAGTATGTTCTTTTTCAATTCAAATGTACCGTTGCATTGCCACTTGGTGTATCTTTTCCTCTGCCTTTCCATCAGTGAGATAAGATAATTTAACGCACTTTTAAATTTCAGTGCAACAATAAGGATGCAGTGAAAGTGTCTGTTTGTTGATACTTAGAAACCTTTGCTTGGGTGCAAAGTAAAAAATAGCAAACAGAAGAAATTTTCAAGATTTTTTTTTTTTTCCCCCTGGTACATTTAAGGAAATTGTTCAGTTAAAAGGGAAACTAATATTGCTAAAATTATGTATTCACATTTCACAAAAATTGTCATTTTTCTTCCTCTATGTAATACTAATAATTGTTCAGTCAGGCCTACTAATACAAAGTATTAAGGGGAAAGTAACAAGATTTTGTAATTGGCCCTATGTACCAAACCAAATCTCCCACAGCGAACACTGTTTCAGTTTAAGTGTACAAATGGCCTGACACTCATACACAATGTTGGAGCTGGAACATTCAAATGCAGCTTATTATATATTACAGAATAGTTACTGAGGTACACCGTGAATTGAAAGGAATCCAGTGTAGTATGTAAATCAAAACCATAAAAAAGCAAGAAAAGGATAAGGTTACAAAGAGAGGAAGAGGAAATATGGAATTGAATGGGAACATTCTGTAGGAGCATCTTTGAACCAGAATACTGTTTATTGCTGTTTTAAAAAATAAGCTAAGTTTGAGGCAATAAGCACACTGTCACAACAAAAGTGGGTCTTTGTTTTCTCACACATGATGGCGGGATCTTCACATGGGCAGGTGTGCTGGTTAGAACAAAAGAAAGTTATGAGGTGATCCTCAAAGGAAAGTAGAAACAGCACTAGTAACCTCAGAAACAGCATTATCAGTTTATATATTATCCACTATTTTTGTTGGTACCACAGAGACTTCAGTGCCAGTATAACATAATCTTGACCACTTGGCCACAAGGAGCCATGCCTCTGAATTCAAATTGTCTTCCAAAGAGCTCTGCTCTGCATTGAGAAAGGGATATTATTCATCCTGATGACCATCAGGGCTTATGTGTCTGCTGGTGTAAGCAACAGTGCAGCAAAACCTAAGAGAGAAATGTGCTTTCATTTGGCCCTGAAGTGAGATATGTGGAAAACTGGGGTTTCCAAAGACACTGACCCATTTGCAAAGATACTTTTAAATGCAAGCAACATCCAGTGAAAAGTGAAAACAGCATTTAGTACAGAAAGAGACGTTCTGGATCGTCAAATCAATTTCTTTGCTATTGCAGGCAACCATTTCACATAATCCCTTCCATCATGTTCCAGCTGAAAAGCATTTAGAGCCTTTTCTTTCTATCACTTCAACAAGAAGGTAATTTTGGAACCTTGTTGTTCTAAAGGTTTGAAACCTTCCAGCCTAAGTGTATCCACAGCCCACTTACACCCATTCGTACTTCTCTCTTCCCAGGGATGAAGATAAAGGGCTGTACATTTCAACCACTCCCCCAGTTCCATAGGTCCATTTATTTGCAATGGTATTTGAACCTGTTTCATGTTTGAACAGTTCTTCATGCAAGAACCTCAGAAATGTGGTGTGCAGTGTGAGAGAGGGCATGAAACCTGAAGGGACAGCACATTTTGTAGCCCCCTGAATGATGATATTCTGTGAGAATTTGGCACTGCTACCAGCACAGCTGGACCCCAGGGGACAACTCCTGAACACAAGTGAGGTCCATCGGTCAGAAATGTAAAAGGGGAGTGGGGGGTGGCAGGGTGGGGCAGGGGAAGCCAAAATAGCCCTCTGATGGAGGATTCAAAATTGTGAGACCTGCAAACATAAATACAGTAAAATGTAAACCCTGGCAAAGGTAAAACATCAGTTGCAACAGCTTTGTTTATGTGGAAACGTATGGGGATGCACACATTACATACCTATACGTGTGTGCATTTATAAACAGACATATATGTATGCATGTATGAACAGGCATTCATGAAAACAAGACATTTGGAAAATGCTATAAAAACAAAATACATCAAATCTTGTTGTTCTATTTCAGGCTCACCCCGTTGTGACCAAGTGCTGCAGCATACAGACCATCCCACACTTCACGGGGAAGACAGCAGGAGAGGAAGTATTATTAAATCTTAATTCAGTCACTCACAGACACTTGAGAATGGCCTTTCATGATTTATTTCCTTTCATTCAGTTGAGAGAGGCACAATCTATTGAACAAATAAAACACTGCCCGCCTGTCAGTGGAATGCTGCAAAGTTGTATTTGTTTCAAAGAAAGCAACACCTGGAGTTATTTTATACAGACTCAACATTTTGTATTCTTTCATCACATTAAGTTAAAATGTATTTCACTAAAAAAAAAAAAAAAAAAAAAAAAAAAAAAAAAGTCCTTAAAACACAGCAGTGTCAGCAGTATAAACTAGGGCAAAATTCAACACATTGAGTTTTAATGAAAGCTTAAAAAAAAGATTACGAAGCCGTTGCTAGCATCCCAGCACACAGGAAAATCATATTGTTAAACTGGTCAGTGTGCATATGACCAGCCTCTGGCTTCCCTGTCAGCCCCAGTTCAGAGCACGGCATGTTCTCGACATAAGAGATATGCTTAGATCAAATCTTGCAGTCGTAACTCACGCAAAACTCTATTGACTTCGGTGGAAATTTTGCCTGAGTGAGGGATGGATTTTGGTCAGAGGAAATAAAGACCTCTAATCTCAGTGCAAAGCTATGGTTCTTGTACGAAGTAACGTAGTAAAACAGCGGAAAAAAAAAAATTACCTCTGTGGGAACAGAGAGCTCGAACCGTTCAGTTTCTGCCTGTCATCGCACCGGCTGTCCGCCCTCGCTGCGCTGCTTCCTCCACCAGAAAGGAGTCCCCGTCTCAGCGCAGGGGGCTGCGGCTCCGCGGCGGGCTG